AGGAATTGAAACCGGGAAGTGATTTAAAAAAACAATAATATGTATAAGCAATTTCAAATTGCTACAGAAGTCAGTATAGGAAAAGGTAGCTTTAATCAATAGAGAATGTATTCTTCTTTTGCCAATATAAACATGTTTCACAAAGCCAATTTGCTAAAATATTATCTTAATGAGAAAATATACCCATTCAGGTTTCCTAAGTACAATAAGAAAATGTCAGAATGGTTGACTTTACTCTTCTAACTGTAGACAAAGTCAAACTATACCTCTTATCTGAGAATACCCCCTCCTCTCCGACAAGTCCCGAAGGATAGGATTTTCTGTTGATTCAGAGGGTCAATAATTCTGCAAAGTCCCAAGTAAATGGCAAAACACAAGCTCAGATTGGGTTTTTGTATTCGTATTTTATAAACATTTCAGGAATTTTTTTTAATGACTCTTGACCTTTTGTCATTCTTAAAATGAAGAGCTTATGTCCTGGAAGCTTGGTTAGAAACAAACTCAGGGTATTGCATCCAACTTCTTTCTCCATGTGGATCCTACTGTCAGCAAACACATCTAGCAATGTAAGCTATTAATTAAGTGGATTCCAAAGCTAGATTGTCTTGATTAACACTCCAGCTCTGCCCTCCATAGCTTTGAGACTTTAGGCAAGTTACTTGGGCAAATTATCTTGATTTTCCTAATTGTAAAATAGGTCATTATATCTGTCTCAGCCTACCTCAGAGGATTATTATGAAAACTAAAATATTTTATATAAGTGTGTAAAGTGCTTCAAAGAATGTTTGGTGCAAACTAACTGCTAAATAAATGTTGGCTATCATTATCATTTGCAAATATGCCTCTATTTTAATATCTTTAGGAGGGACAGAGTGTTTATTCACTTCCTCCCCTCTTTGCTTCTTCCCCAAGGCAGGTTGTCCTGGTGTTAGTCAGGATCATTCTGGTTATCCTGAACTTTGGAGTCAGACAGACCTGAGTGTGAAACCTTACTTTTCTGCAACAGAGGGCAAGATAACTTTGATGTCTTCATCTGTAAATGGCAGTAGTTTCACTGAGCTATTGTGAAGACTAGTTAAGGTGCTACAGGAGAAATATAGCAAGCACATTATAGCTGTTGCTATGATGATTGTGAAGGACAAGAAGAAAATTAAGACCAGAAGGGAGAAAAAAAAAGGTAAAAAAGAAAAAGTACTACTAGCCATAGTTGCTGCTGTTGCTGATTCTCAAAAGTGTTCTGAGTAGCCGAGTTCTTTCTGCTGCTCCTCACCAGTCCTAGCTCTCCCCCCTCACAGAGCACATCTGCTCTGCCTTCTCTTGTCAAATTTCAGCTAGGTAGAGCACCAGCACCGCCCCTTCCTGCCGGTTCAGCAACAGCACCACCACCATTTCAGGCCCTCTTTCCACACAGAGTTCTATCCTCAAATATTTCTTGGGAAATACAGATTTTAGTCTCCTCCCTAAGAAGAGGTTCCTCTTAGTGTGCTTTATTCCTTCTTGAATGTGATCTTGCCAGCACTATAGGGTGGTTTCACAGTATGGCCACGATCTTGCTAGGGAGAAGTGCCATTTTCTACATCTGACTAGTCTCTCTTCAGTCACTTTAAACCAGGCAGCAGAGCTAAAGGAAACAAAGATTACCCTGGCTTACTTTGAAAACTTCATAAGAATCCCAGGTGAGGGGGGTAGCTGCTTGCTCTGAAACACCAGAGAGAGTAACAGAACCTAACAGAACCCCATGTTCAATCCAATGGTAATATATGGGACCCATACTAGAGATGAGGGTGGGAACTGAAACTAGAAATGAGGATCTCCGGAGATGGAGGCATTAACCAGTCAGGGAAAGAAGCATTCCTGTTGGGCAATGAGTTAGAAACAAGACAGAATGATGCCTGGGCTCCAGGAGGCTAAGAGGATGAAGCTCCAATTTTCAGTCCAGTTTTCAGACCAGCACTCTAACAAAGGAGCACACCATCCAGTAATGGCTACCACCTACTAAGCACCTACTGTACTGGCTCAGAACTGTACCAGAGGCTTCACCAATATCATTCCATTTAACCATCCCAACAACCTACAAAGGAGAAAACATGATTCGCATTCTTATTGATGGGAAAACAGGCTCTCAAATTTTATAACTTCTTCAAAGTCATACAGGTTGTAAATGACAGAGCTAGGATTTAGATGTCGTTTTGCTTCACCTTTAAGACATTATTCTATAGATCTTTTTAAAATATATGGCCTTTTAAAAGTAACTGTTGCAGTTCAACTGTCTTGCATGGTTGTTGTATGGACTAAATGAGAATAATATAAGGTGCCTGACATGTAATATATGTTCCAAAAAAAATATTTCTTCTTTCCCAAGTCCCATTTAAAATGGCTAGAGAAATATCACTTAAAGCTGGGCACCAGTGGCTCACGCCTGTAATCCTAGCTACTCTGGAAGCTGAGATCTGAGGATTGTGGTTCAGAGCCAGCCAGGTCAGGAAAGTCCATGAGACTCTTATCTCCAATAAATCACCAGAAAACCAGAAGTGGTGCTGTGGCTCAAGTGGTAGAGTACTAGCCTTGAGCTGAAGAGCATAGGGACAGTGCCCAAGCCCAGAGTTCAAGCCCCATGACCAACAAAAAAAAAAGAAAGAAAGAAAAATAGCTTATTTTTTCTTGGCCCCTGTTTTCTCATGTGAAAAGTGGGTATAGTTTATGAATCTTCTAACCTTGTATGTTGACGACCCCAGCAAAGTACAGTGCAGGCCTGATGTCCCAGCCTCTTTTGCTGCCCAGCACATCTTTTCTGCCTATACTCACAGATCTGGCACTACTCTGGTTTTGGTTTCTCCCAGCAAACATCGTATTTACAAACCACAAATAACAAAGTAGAAGATGCCGGAAGAGCTCTGGCATGTTAATTAAGAACAATAGCGGAAGCAGCTGGGCAGAAAATGCCAAAGAGTCTGAGCAGAGGCAGCACAGCTCAGTTTGTTGACAGAAGCCAGTGCAGTATTGTACATTAATTGGGGAAGTGGGTAAACATTTGCCAGCAGCATGCCCCCCAGTGCATTGGAAGACAGCAGGCTGGGCCCTCCCCACTACCTTTCCTGCCCAGCTGCCCATAACCTAGAGATACTGGTAGATCTGGCTTTTTGCCCTGGGTTACTTATAAGCACCGCAGATTCTTAAAGTGGATGTGTCTCCTTAGTGGCCCTCCTGGGCATTCTAAGTTTCCATCTGAATATAGTGGATGATAGTGCTTCCCCTTAAACTTCCCAGCCTGCTTGTGATACCCAGCCTTGGTCTCCAGAGGTTCCCCTTCCACTAGCTGGAAGAAGATAGTAGAATCATCTCATTAGGAGTGGCTTGAGTTGAGCAGAAAACAAAATTGCCTGCCTCAGGTGCTGCCAGGCTTTGTCTACAGTCCCAGAGCTCCTCTAAAGAGCAGAGCAAGCACCCTCAGGCCTGATAAGAGGCGGCCCGGCCTTTCTTCACACACACTTGGAGCTGTCCATTTGTCTGTGTGTCCAGCTATCTTTACAGTTGCTCTCACACACAGAGCCCATTATTGGCACCTGCTCTGTGCCAGACACTGCTAATTATATTTTTCTCATTTAATCTTCACATCAGGTCTACAAGGTTGATACCCCCAAAGCCACAAAGCTGATAGCCAACACAGCTGTGATTTAAACCAGAGTTTTTGTAGGTCTAAAGCTTGTGTCCTTTCCATTAAACTAGTGCCTTTTAAAACTTATCACCTGGATTGTGGAGATCTTGATTCAGGGAGAGCCTTACACATGCTAGGCAAACACTGTACCCCTGAGTTATACCCCCAACTCTTACTCCCTTTTGATTCTCTCTCTCTCTTTCTCTCTCTCTTTTTCTCTCTCTCTGTCTCTGTCTCTCTGTCTCTGTCTGTCTCTCTGTGTCTCTGTCTCTCTCTCTCATTCAGAAAACTTTCATATACCATCCCTGTCCTGGCTTAGGAAGGCTGAAACCTAATTTAGAATCTCTGTGTCCCATAGTACAAAGAAGGTTTTGCCTAGCTTTACTTTCAGTAGTTTATATTTCTTGTCTCTAGAATATAAGGTGGTAATATTAGGTGATTTTTTTTTAATCCTTATTGAAAAGGTGATGAGCAGGGGGATTACAGTTACATAAGTAAGGTAATGAGTACATTTGTTTTTAAACACTGTTACCCCATCCCTCATTTTCTGGTGATTCATTTTTTTTCAAACCAAATATATTCCCAACAAGAAGATCATAGTATAGACCTCCCTAAAAGCCGCCCCTTGCCAGCAAGATATGGTAGAATAACCTTTCTTCAGTTTACTGTATGTGGTTTTAGTGGGAATAAGCCCTAACTCTTGTCCATCAGTCTTAATTTGCCCCCAAAAGCAGAATAGACCTCCTTGCTGTCACAAGTTAACAAGCAGAGGCTTGCAGGATGCTATTCAGCTGTTGAAGGAACATCTTTCCCAAGGGCACAGGAAGCAACGGTTGAGTCTCTTGAACCTCTGCCTCGAGGTCAGTGATAGTTCTTCCACTAAACTTGACCTTTATGAGAGCCCTGGTTTATGCAGATAGGACAAACAATACCCATCTCACAGGATTAGTTTGAAGATAGAATAAGATAAGGTGAAAATGCTCACTTTGCCTAGTACCAGTGGCTCACACCTGTAATCCTAGCTATTCAGGAGGCTGAGATCTGAGGATCATGGTTCAAAGCCAGCCTGGGCAGGAAAGCCCATGAGACTCTTATATCCAATAAACCACTAGAAAACCAGAAGTGGTGCTGTGGCTCAAGCGGTACAACGTTCACCTTGAGCTGAAGAGCTGAGGGATAGTATCCAAGCCCAGAGTTCAAGCCCCACGACCAACCAAAAAAAAGAAAGTGCTCACTCTTGCATGTTGTAATAGGCTCAAAAATCAATACACACAGGTGCACTGAATGCCATGTAGACAAAATTTTCCTTGTTCCAGACTTTTAAATGTATTTTCTTTCTTTTCAGGTAACTCAGCTGGACCCCAATAAATCTTTATTGGAGGTAAAGTTGTTTCCTCAAGAAACCCTTTTTCTTGAAGCAAAAGAGTAAACACGGCTCGGCGGTGGAACCAGCCATTCCTTGACAAGCCACTGGCCCTCGTCAAGAGATGGGCTCATCGCCACCCACCCACATGCTCGTCTCACTCAGTTCAGTGTCACACTTCTGCCTCTTGCAAGATTGCTGGAAAAAAAAAAAAGTAATAATAAACATAGCTACTTAAAATTTCCCATCCATGAGTATATGTTCCCAACCCTCATGATGAAGAATTACAATTCTGCCACCCACCCCTCCCCTGCACTTTGCCCTGTTCAATGACTAGTGCACTGTTGGTGTGTGAGTGATCACTAGTAAGAGTTTTTAACTTCTCTAGTGCCCAGTGTCCTATGACAGTTCTTTCTGTCTTGTGACACCAGGATGCTGTGTATTTGATATGTCTCATTGAGCCAGGGCTTACACCTCTGCCTTTTTATTTTCATGACTGGATCTCTACTTTGTCACCTAATTTTAAGAGGCAGAGGAAAAAAAGTCAAATGGGACATTCTTGGCATGGAGATTAAACATTGTCATAGGAGGAAAAAGAAGCATATCAGTTTTGTTGGTACTTTCTATCTTTATTACTAAGATGTAAGATTTTGTTTGAACTATTTTGACATATATGCAAGGTATTTATTTAATACTGCTGCCTTGGATCTCCAACCTCCATCTAGGAGGTATTTACTATTCCACTGAAACATGGGGAAGTGTTCAAGTGCATACTGTGAATGCTGAGCTAGTGTAAAGCGGGTAATGTGAAGGCTTTGGTATCTGACCCCGCTGTGAGAAGCTGCTGTTAGGTCTGTGTTGAGTCAGTCAGAACCCCACAGACACCAGCTTCCAAGGTGCTGAGCCTTCATATTGTACTGAATACAATTCTCCCTTTTTGTTTTGTCCCTCCTTCACACATTTGGGCTTTGAAACTTGGTATTTTAAGCACCATGGCTACAATCAAAATCTCATTCTAGGAGATGCCATTGCGCATTTGGGTTCACTTCATGATTAACGATGTCATGGGGCGTTTCCTAGAATAAGTAACTTGCTCTACTTTTAATATTAGAAGGGATCTCATTCTTTCGCTGAAAATTCAGATTTCATGTACTTAAGAGAAAATTTGAGGGCTTAGTCTAAAAGACATGTGATACCTGTATTCAATAATTTGAGGTTTGATTTAGTAGATTTGAATTTTGTAATCTGTGGACTTGGAGTTTGCAGTAGTAGTTCATAAGAACTATCTTTATACCTTCATAGCCAGTGATTTCCTTTTAGTCTTGAAATGTTTTCATAGGTCTTTATCTAGGAGTTGAGAATATTTTCTAAATATAAGTGCTAGGTTTGCTCCCCTGGCCCCAGCAAGATGTTGTTAGAAAACTCTTAATGAAAGCTGGAAATATGTTTGGTCATTTCTCTCTACCCAAAAGTGGATGGTAGCCAGGAAAATTCCATCTGTTTTTCCTTTCATGTTCTACCCGGGACCTCCCCCTGAAACTCTCTTAAAAGAAATTGTTCCTAAAAGACTTGTGCTTCATTTGCTTACATGAGGGCTTTCTCTGGCCCCACAAGTCTCTCTAGGGAGGCTGAAAGGAAGACCTACCATGAGGGGAGCTCTCCATAGCCCTTCCTCTCTAGCTCTACTTCCTTTCTAACTGGCTGCACAAGAGAGTCATTTCCAGGACATTAAGGCTCCAGGTAGACATTGCCCCTATAGGTGCTATGGAAAAGACAGGGCACTGAACTCAGGCTATATTCAGAAACAACACTGAGATTGTGGGTAGGGGGTTGAGAGAGGGGTCTCTGAATTCACTTTCATGTTTAACCTGTTCCATCTGATTTGGGTTTGGCTTCATTATATGGTTCCCTCCCACGCCATTCACTTCTGTATACCAACAATATAGACTTCACTCTGAAACCATTTTCATAAAAGCTATTAAATGTTACTTGAATGTGTGTGAAATTGGAAAACCTTTTTCAACCTTGTCTTGGAAAGTTCCTAGTGGCCTGCTCAGCCTCATAAACTCCTCCTATAAGCCCCATAGCTAGGAAAGACATCAGCTAATTGTCACTGTTCACACATGGCGTTCTCAGCTGCTAAGCTCCGGCATTTTATACTTTCTCATGCAGGCACAACTTTAAAATTAATTGCTTTTACCACAGAATTTTTTCTCCTACTCTCAGACTTCCATGCCCCACACATTCCACCCTCAGATTCAGTGCGTCAGCCAGAATGTTTCTCAACATTCTTTGCCCCGCTGTTTACAGTGAGCTTCGTGGTTCCTGTCCTCTCCCCATTCTAGTTCACTCCTTTGGATTCTTGGGTTATCAGTTGTGAGTTCCGAAAATTAGTTTCAAAGGAAATATTGCCAATTTCCCATTGTCTTTCAGAAGATACAGTTTTTTTGGAGGCATCTAGTTTGGGATGTTGCCAGCCTCTGGCACTGTTACTTTTATGAGACATTCTGGTGTTCATCTCTGAATTGTAATCGTCCACAGCCTGAGCTGGATGAGATCAGTTTTTGTAGAATCCTTTTTTTTTTTTTCATTTCAAATCAATATCTTGCTTGGTTTTTATACTTAATGTAAAAATAATACATCAAAGCACAATGCCTTTTTTGTTAGCAAAAAAAAACCAAAGGCTCTTCTTTTTTTTTTTTTTTTTTTTTGGTCAGTCATGGGGCCTGAACTCTCGGCCTGGGCGCTGTCCCTCAGCTCTTCAGCTCAAGGCTAGCGCTCTACCACTTGAACCACAGTACCCACTTCTGGCTTTTTCTGCTTATATGGGGCTGAGGAATCGAACCCAGGGCCTCATGCATGCAAGGCGAGCACTCTACCACTGAGCTACCTTCCCAGCCCCAAGGCTCTTCTTTTTAATAGCTTAACATCTATTTAGGGTTTATTCTCTAATATAGGAGAATAACATATACATTTTTATTTAAGTCATTACGAACATGACGTATAGTGAGAACAGTGGGTCACAGCTGTATTCCTAGCTACTCAAGAGAAGGATTGTAATTCAAGGCCACCCTGGGCCAAAAGTTTTCAAGACCTCCATCTCAACCAATAAAAAGATGGATGTTCATCCTAGCTATGTCAGGAGCATACCAATAAAATAGGAGGAAAATATTGAAAAGATTAAAATACTACAAAACCAACATCATAAAGTTATATGCTAAGGAGATCTACAGTTTAATAGTATCCATCCTATGCCCTGAGACATTACAAAACATCTTCCATTCATCCATAAACAGTGGAGTGGATTACTAAGAGGTTGCACATAACCTTTATTTGGATGTACGAGAGGATATCGCTTGTTTCCATTAACACCATTACTGATCCACACACTGTTACCCATCCCCTCAACTACCCTGTCCTGGGCCCCACCAATGAATGGGACAAGAACCTTAAATTTAGTCAAAAGTGACACACAGGTATTGCACTTTATAGTCTGTATTTTCTCATATGGCCAGTTTAGAGTTCCTCACATACATAAGCACTCTGGAAACTTCACTGTTTTCTCATGTGAACCTTGATTCTGCCATTTAGACATTATAACCTTAAGGTGAGTAACTTCTCTGAAACTCAATATCCTGACAAAACTCCTGCACTTTAGCACACCTTTCACATATCATCACAGTCCACTGCTATGAGCAAGGCAGATGATCATTTCAGTTTTGCACAAGGAACTGTCTGGTTTGCCTAAAGTCCAAAGCTTGTCAGTAGAAGACTCAAGATTGAAGCCTTAATAGTCTCATTTCCCACTGTTCTTCCATAGACTTTCAAACCCAAGAATGGCTCTTGGGGCCCTCTACTATTGTATTTTTCTGGGGAGTGAAATTGCATTCATCAAATTTTAGTGGGATCTACTAACCAAAAAAATAAAATGAAATGAAAAAAATAGCCACCATTTGTATTGTACATACAAAAATCAGACCATATGGGAGTTGAACCTGTCCATTCTTTTTGGCAACCCATATTTTTGTCTAAAAGAACCTCTCAAGAGGATGAAATGCAGCCAGTAAGTTCTCTTGACTTGAACCACCTGAATTTAGTATCTTGTTCCAAATAGCTTTTGGACGGGAGAGATGACTCAAGGAGTAGAGCACCAGCCATGAGCAGAAAAACCTGAGCAAGAACACAGGGCCCTGAATTAAGTCCCAGTACTGCTCCCTACTCCTCCCCACCCCACCCCCCCAAAAAAACAAAACAGCTTTGGAAGATGACCCTTAACAACTCCAACTGGCCACAAACCTCTCTGCTGCATTTTGAAAGTTTGGTCTGAAAGGAAATACCAGTAAAGGAGCTTTGATCTCATCTTCAGTCCTAACTCTGTCCACCATCTGTTAATTGTGGCTGTTGGTTTTTGGAAGCTGGTATAAGGTGTGCTTAAGAGCACAGCCTCTGGAGACATACTGCCTGGTCCAAGCCACACCTCTGCTTACTAGCAGTGTCTCCTGGGAATGCTACCTTTCTCTGTTTCCATTTTTCAGCTTTCTTACAAAATGGAAATGTTAACAGTATCTAGTTGATAAGGTCTTTTGAAGACTGAATGTAAAGCAGAACAGCTGTTATTTATGCTGCAAACTCATATAATTTTTTTAAGTGGGTTATCATTGCAGTGAGAAGTGGCAGTTCATGAGAAGGAACATCAAAGGAAGAACAGAAACAAAAAGTCCAAGAGTTATGTTAGGACTTCAGGAACCATCAAAGAGCCCTCGCTGATCATTTAGGATATGCCCAGTACTACGCTCAGTTACAGACCTTCACCTTACAAGCCTGTGAGGTGGATATTCTTTCAAAGAGGCAAAGCAGTTGCCCAAACTCCACAATTGACAAAGGGCAGAGAGCAGTTTTGCATCTCGACTATGTATGTGTGTGTGTGTGTGTGTGTGTGTGTGTGTGTGCGCGCGCACACGCGCGCGCGCGCGTGCGTGTGTGTGCACGTGTGCAGGCGCATGCATGCACTCCAATCATTGGGCTTGAACTCAAAGAGCCTGGGTGCTATGTCTCAAGGCTAGCACTCTACCACTTGAACTACAGCTCCACTTCCAGCTTTTTTTGGTGGTTAATCATAGATAAGAGTTTCATAGGAAGTGGCGCTATAGCTCAAGTGGTAGAGCGCTTGCCTTGAGCTGAAGAGCTGAGGGACAGCACCCAGGCCCAGAGTTCAAGCCCCACGACCGACAAAAAAAAAAAAAGAAAATTGGGGCTGGGAAGGTGGCTCAGTGGTAGAGCACTTGCCTTGCTTTGCCTGAGGCCCTGGGTTCAATTCCTCAGCACCACATAAGCAAGTTCAAGTGGTAGAGCTCTAGCCTTGAGCTGAAGAGCTGAGGGACAGCGCCCAGGCCCAGAGTTCAGACCCCACGACTGGACCCAAAAAAGAAAAGAGTTTCATGGATATTCCTGCCCCCGCTGGCTTTGAACCACCATCTTCAGATCTCAGCCTTCTGAGTAGCTGAGTAGCATCAGCCACCAGTACCCAGCTGTATGTAGACTTCTGAACCTGAAGACGCTGCTGTGTCTGTGACAATGACATGCTGCATTCAATGAAAGTAGAACATACTCCCAAAGCATCTCAAATAACTGTAGTAGTAACTTCTAAAGTATTGGTAGATGCTCAGAAGAGCAAAGCCACATTTAAATAGGAAATTCTCCAGTGACTGATTCCCTAAGAGTTAGTGCTGCTCTTACATAGAAATGTGTCCAGGAGCTGAGATTTAAATAAGGCCTTTTGTTTTTAAGTGCATGCAATGACTTAAGATGTCTCCAAAGTCCATTTCCTGCTCTTTCATCCTTTTTTCTCCACTGCTTTTTCTCCTCTTTATCATCTCACTAGAATTTCAAAATTATATCTTACTTGATCCTCATCTCTGTAGTCCTTATTCTAGACCAGTCTCCACACTGTTACTAGGAAGAACTCTAAAATGCCTGTCTCAACATCTCTCTGTCTCTCTCTCTCTCTCTCATATATATACACACACACACACACACACACACACACACTGCCTTCCAGATAAAACCCAAATTCTTGATTTAAACTCTTGTTATCTGGCCCCTTCCTCCCCTTCCGATCTGTATCTCTAATCATGTCAATACATTCTGAGCAAGCAATTGCCTGAACCTGCTAGCTTTCTATAATCTGGTTTTGTACATGATCTCCTCTGCCTTCATAGAATTCTATCTTCCATCTTTCACTTTCAGTTTTGACTTCACTTCCTCCAAAATGCTTTCTTAAACATTGGCACATCCCTCCATACCCACAGATTAGATGTCTGTGTGCTGACCCTTTAGCCTTGTGCTGCCCTTTTCATAGCACTGGGTTATTCCAAACTATATAAACTTTCTATCCTCCCTCACCTGGATTGAGCCTCAGAAAGAGCCCAACTTACTTTATGTCCTCAAAGCCTAGCAAAATGACTAGTACACAATAAGCACAGTAAATGTGAATGTACTAACTGAATTTGAGTAATGAGTTACATGTATCCAAGTACTAAGAAGGTGGTCACTTCCAGCTCTAACCTCTAACTCATCTGGGAACATTGAAAGGGCATAACCTCTAACTCATCTGGGAACATTGAAAGGGAAAGAAACCATACCTTAATCATCTGTTTCTAGAGCCAACCCAGGGTCTGGCATATTGAAGTTGTACACCCAATGGTTGCTGGAGCAGTTAATTAATTGAAGCTGGAGCTAAACCAACTGGAGCTGCTGAGCAGAAAAAAAAAATTAAAGAATTGGTATTGTGTCCCTAGATAAGGCCAACTCCATGCTAGGAGCATCTCAGAATTACACTATGAGGTCAGAACTATTGTTATCCTTATTTTACATCCAAGAAAACAGGTTCAGAAAGATGAAGTTACCATTCAAGAGATAAATCTAGTTGGGAGAGGAACTGAACTTCTCTTGATCTGTACCCTGAGCTCATTCCTGCTCCTTTATTTCATGATGA